AAAATATTACCAATGTTTTACTTTTAAATAATTTAACTTTAAATTTAATTTACTTTACTTTAATTTAATTTACTTTAAATTTTATCGTTATTTCTAGTAATAGCTGTCATTCTCTGTCAGTTGAGATTGCCTCACCGCAGAAACCATCTTTTTCGGTAGAAGGCAGAAGAATAGTGGACATAAACTTTTTCATTAAATCTATTCAAGGTTTGAATAATCATTCTCCATTTTCATGCAACTTTTCTAATATGGAGATTATCAAAGAAAAAATGGACGGATTGATAAGTACATTGACTTTTAAATGTCAAATGTGCAATATTGAAAAGGAGATAGCAACAGAGGATTCTGGTAACAATTCACTGAACTTGAATGTAGCACAAGTGATGGCTACTATATCCACCGGGTCTGGTTATTCAGACATACAGCAGCAGCACGCTGCATTAAATATACCTGTGATGTCCTACAGGCAGTATGCAAAACATACGGAGACAGTTGCAGATATTATTGGCCAAACACTTTGTGATTCCATAGAAGAGGCTGGACGGGAGGAATTAGCTTTAGCCAAAGAAATTGGTGAAGTAGATTCCGACGGAAATGGGTTAATAACCGTTATAGCTGATGGTGCTTGGTCAAAAAGATCGTATAAAGTAAACTACGATGCTTCTTCAGGTGTAGTAAGTGTGTTGGTTTGACAATATAGACAATATTTCTATATATTTTGTTTTTTAGGCTTGCATAGTCGGTGCCAAAACTGGAAAAATTTTATTTGTTGCCACAAGAAATAAATACTGTATTATATGCGCGAGAGCTGCCACAAAAAATGAAACAGTTAAATCCCATACATGTTCTAAAAATTGGGAAGGGTCATCCACGTCCATGGAAACTGATATAATAGTTGAAGGTTTTAAAAGAAGTGTGGAGATGCATCGATTAAAATATATACAATTAGTAGGTGATGGAGATAGTAGTGTATATAATTCATTATGCATTAAAAAACCATATGGTCCAAATATTTTAATTAAAAAAATTGAATGCATAAATCACCTTTTACGCAATTATTGCAGTAAATTAAGAGATTTGGCAGCAAAAAAAATTTCAACTAAAATGAAACCTGTGGCGCCAGAATTAAGAAAACGTTTGTCTAGTAATATACTGAGATTAAGACTAGGAATCAAAACAGCGATAGCATACAGAAAAAATGAGACAAATAGTATGGAAATTCAAATAAAAAACTTAATAAAAGACATAAAAAATTGTCCGTACCATGTCTTTGGACAACATACCAACTGCGATCAATATTTTTGTAAAGGATCCAAAGAAAACGAAATAAACTTTGTTATGAAATTAGAAGAATGCGGATTATTGAATGACATTCTCTCGTGTGGGAACAGACTAATTCAACATACTCATAGCTTATTGTTGAATATGAATAATAATGCAGCAGAAACATATAACTCTGTGATTTCAAAGTTTGTTGGGGGTAAAAGAATTAATTTTGTTTTAAGAGGTAGCTACGATACACGTTGTAAAGCTGCAGCGATATCATTCAATGAAAGAGAACATTACTTTAGTGACCTACATAAGAAAATGACCATGAAAAGTCCAGGAAAATATACAAACAAATACATAGAACAAATCAAAAAAATAGGGAACAAAAGAAGACTGCGTACAGAGTTACACCCAGTAATAAAGAAAAAAAGAAAAATTGCACCAGCTGATAAAAATTACGGTGCATTAGATAAAGAAATATCAATAAGCGAGAAAGAGAGTTTTTTGGAATCCTTACAAAAAAGTAATGAGGAGATTGCAAAAATAGAACAATCTACCAGGGGCCAATCTACAAATTTTTTGTGGAAAGAATACAGACACAATCGTTTGACAGCCTCTAATTTTGGAGTTGTATGCAAATTGAGGAAATCTACAAATCCTGCAAACACCACAAAAAAAATATTGTTTTCAGATTTTCGCGGATCTGCTGCTACAAGGTGGGGACAAGATCATGAAGCAATTGCAAAACTGGAATTTGAAGGAAAATATAATTTAAAAGTACGCGAATGTGGATTATTCATTTCTGCAGAAAATCCGTTTCTTGCAGCGAGTCCGGATGGCATTATTGATGACGATCATATCGTAGAAGTAAAATGCCCCTATTCGGCTTGCAAGTTGTCCCCAGAAGAAGCTGTTAAATTAAAAAAAATTAAATACCTAACACGTGAAGAAAATAGTTTTAAATTAAAACGCACCGATAATTATTTTTATCAAGTTCAAGGACAGCTAGCAATAGCTCAGAAAAAATATTGCTACTTTATTGTTTGGACACCTATGGGTTTTATTGTTGATAAGGTACATATTTATATTAGTTTATAAACGTATTAGAAACTTTTTTTCATGTCAGAATTTTTAATGTATTCAAACAATATTTTTATGATTACTATTATTATTATTTATACATCATTATTTATCGTATACTTAATACTGATACCTGCACATACAAAATTACACAAACTAATTTAAATATTTTCTAATTACAGATAGAAGCCGAGCCGGAATTTTGGAAGCAAATATTGCCAAAATTGAAAAATTTTTATATTGAAAATATGTTGCCACATATTTTAAGTAGTTAAATAACTATACTTTAGTCACTGATATAGAACGACCAAGAACTGCTTAAACGTTTCGAGAGAAAAATTCTGAGGAAAATATATGGAGGTGTCCAAGAACAGGGTTTGTGGCGTAGGCGTTACAACTTTGAGTTATACAGAAGTTTTGGGGAACCTGACGTTGTAAAATTTATTAAATTAGCACGCCTTTGATGGATAGGACATGTAATTAGGCGAGATGAAGATGAAACGATCAGAAAAATTTTCGACCGAAGAGGACCAGTGGGAAGACGATCCAGAGGAAGACCAAAACTTAGGTATCAGATAACATAGAGGATGATCTAAAATACATCGAAGTTAAAGTATGGAGAAAGTTGCCAGGGGCAGGGGCGAATGGAAGATTGTTCTGAAGAAGGCTTTGGCTCATGACGAGCTGTAATGCCACTGATGATGATGATGAAATAACTATCCATGATTTGTGTTTTATTCATCAATTGGATACTTTTCTTATGTAGCTGCAACCTATAAATATATTAAAATAATGTATATTCTATTCAGAGAACTTTTTCCTCACAGTGCATCGCCTCGAAGTACTTGCCAGATAAATACATTTACTATTATGATCGTTTCGCAGGTACCAATTTTTTATAGATAAATATATTTTTATAGATAACATATTTTTTGTTTAATTTTTACTACGCTAATATCAGTTTTCTCTAAAAAATAAATAACTTCTTGAAATCATTTTCAAGCTATAACTGCGAAATTTTTTATTTGTTTGTGACAACAAATTGTAATTTTTTTGATAATAATATTCTTATGTTATTTTAAATTTATTATAAATAAACACCATGGTGTTTTTTGCAGTCACGTTTCACAAATTGTTATTTAATACTATAGTTAGCTAAGACATATAAATTAAAAATGTGATTAATTCTTTTTAAAACATTATCTACGATAATCAATCTAAAAAAGTATTCCGACAAAACTAATTTGAATGGAGAATAATGTATTTATTGTCAATAAACAACCCGTAGGTCGGCGCCACTGAATAAACATAAAAAAAATTAACAGTGCAGATTTCACATTAGGAAGTCACGTAGGGTCTGACGTAAGCAGTGTAGAAAAGTAAGTGATACGCCCACTTCAAATCGCAATATGCTTTAGCTGCGAAAACAGCCTTAAGCATGATATCGGATGAACGACTCCATATTAAACAATACGACTCCTTAAAAGCAAGGTTCCAGCGACAAAATCAGAAAACGTGAGGGTCTTCAAAATTTCTCCTATACATTTTGATGCAAACGACTACTTTGAGTTAATTAATTGGCAAGAGTGTAACCTTACAGAACCACCTATTTTCTCTAGAGTTTTGAATGACGATCTGCGAGATTTTATCTGAACTTAGACCCTTTTAGCATTGAGAAATATCACTGCCACACACAATGTGTAGAACGATGTGTCAAGCTTGTGACAGAAGCGTCTCAAGCAGTTTGTGGAGCGTATTCGACGGATGGATTTTGTGAGGTATTACATTTTCGTCTCAAAATAAAAATTATTTTGTATGTTAATATTTTTTCAAAATTTTTAATTATCTTGGGGGGAGGGCAGAAGGTATTTTCCAATTTCTACCAGATATTACAAAAATACTAAACAGTTGATTGGGCAACTTTTGTGAGGTATTATTTTTCCATCGCAACAAAAAACATTTTTTCGCCTGTTTCGATGCACCCTAATATTCACAATGTTGGAAGCTATGATGTTCTATTCTTCTTCTAACCTACCTTGTGGAGTCTCGCAACACTACAGAGAAATCCGTTAAAATTTGTCAAATTTTGCATTAGTCATGGGCTTGCTTATTATTGTAATGTTGCCATATCTAGGGTTTATAAAAGGAAACTGTTAAAAGTTTTAGTAGTTACATGGATTTTTCATAATACTGACAAAATTCATTGCGGTCGGTGATAAGAAATGGTCGGTAAAGGGTACAGTTACGTTATATAACATAGTAATATAGTGTCTATACAAAATATAAAAAATAAAATATACAAAAATATATAATTATTATACATGCAAAGAAATTGTATTTCGGCAATTTAATATGCTTTTGCATAATAAACATAAATAAAAATATATTGTTATTTTGCTATACACGGATCCTTGCTTGCATTGAAACCTACCATACGACGTTGCCACGTGGGTCATCACTAATTTTAAAATTAACGCACTATATTACAACTTCTTTAATCTGTATATAAAATTTCTTCAACATTGAATGTTTACTTTACCGTATTGTTTCTTTTTAAGAATTTTTTTATTTCCACAAACGTCTCTGCGGCAATAAATATTACAGTTACGAGAGGTTTTACTATATTATATTTTTATATTTACATTTTGCAGGATGAGGATGACGACCATGAAGACGCCAGTGAGTCAGGTATATTAGATAATGAGTTAGATGAAGGTTTACCATCATTACCTGTAAAGCGTAAGGCCGATGAAACCTGCAAAACTGAAATTGCCTCAGAACCACCAAAAAAGGTTGTGTTAAAGAGACTAAGTAGTTCAGAATTAGATACAGAGGAAGAAAAATCTGAACCAGAAAAAGTTGATCCCGAAGTTAAACCGGAAGAAGATAAACATGAGGACAAGAAAGTTATTAAACTTTCAGAATTGACATCTAAAGAGGTAAGAAAGTACAACAATTTTACCAAAAGTTAAAGGCGATAACCTGCATGAAAATGTTTGGTTTCTATTTTTTTATCGATATCTAACTTCATCTTTCCTCACTAGAAGTCTGTAGTAGCATACTCTGGTAATTATTTTCCTATAATTGCCTTAGTAGTCTGTGCGTTTTGATTTGGTTTGAGTCTTCTTGCAAACTCTCTCTGATGACGGGTAGACCCAGAAACACGTGTAAGGCCCGGCGCAAATTGAGCACAGCCCACGCACATCCCACGCGCAGCCCACGCGTGTGTTATTTTGTAAAACGTAGTTTTAGACGGAGCGACGCATATTAAACCCAAACCACGGCCAGGCTACTGCCAGACTTGGTTGGCGTGGATAGAGTTGTGCTAGCAACACAGTTTCGTGGATCGGGGGTCTCTACTTAACCTTAGTTATTTTGTTTTGTGTGACCAATTTTTTGTTATTCAGTGAAAATGGAAAAGTTTATTGAAATTGTTCGAAGCTTTGGTGCCTTGTATGATACTAGTAATGAAGATTACATGAGAACAAAACTAATATTTTCTTTATTTGTGCTAAGCGACTCGGATGTAAGTCGCCGTTATAATTATTCAAAAAATAATAAACTTTGAGGGTATACAAGGCAACTATCGAACACGGTGATTAATTTAATCTTGCCCAAGTACTTTCGATCAATAGATCATCTTCAGGGGCATCTGAAATAAGCCAAGAAACGTTTTTTATAAACAGGAAAATTAATTCACTTGGATAAAAAACTCCAAGTTTATGGTTGAAAAAAATTTTTATATGTGATAAACGTTTATAGACTTACTTCGTCAATTGTGGACTATCCGACATAGTAGAATGTCATAAATGTAAAAACTGGACATAACAATACAAAATACACTACACTAAGACAAACAAACACTTTAAAATTTATATGGCGAAGCTACATATTGTGAAGAAGCCGGAGACAGAATGGGCTCCCGGTCTGACGGAAATGTAGAGATGACATGTGACAAATGACAGCTTATGAAGGGCAGTTATGTGATCTGCACCTTTCAAAGTTCTATGACACTAAGTATTGACCAAAGGTCCAACTGACACCACTATAGGAAATCGACTGATGAAATATAAAATTATATAGTATATTTTTTATGTGGATTGAATAATTCCAATCTCACACTAAAACCTGTCTATAATAATTAGGATGTTGGTTTGAGAGCAATTGAAGTTGACATAAAGTATGAATGTGAGAAAAGACTAACAATATATTAGACAGTGGATGGTTGACTACAATAAAATGGTCCACCAAGCGCTATCAGTACTGTAAAAAAGAAAAATCTGAATATGCAGTTAAATTACTAAAAGTTAAAATCAAAATTGAAGACAAAATATATAAATGTGTTATAGTCCACGTAGTTCAGTTGAATCCACAGTCAATGGAAGAACTTTAAAATTAATATTGAAATATTCAGTGCATGAAGTCTAAACAGTCGAGCTGGGTCCTCTACGAGGTGAAGCTGTAATAAAGTTTTTAAATATAGGATTAAATTTAGTACAATTTAAATTAATTTGAGTATTAAGACAGTGAGAGTTTTCATTTGTTTCCCTTGTAATCTCCAAATCTTCCAATAAATCCAACTCAAGATAGTTTTTCTTTCTGCTAATGTCATGTAAGATAGATGAACCAGAATTGATGTTAAAATTGTGGTTGCTGGCTACTAAGTGTTGACCAAAACTTGAAGAATTTGGTCTTTTCAAATGTTCAGAGACTCTAGTGGATAACTTTCTGATGGTTCTACCTACATAAGATGCATCACAATCATCACATTTTAATTTGTAAATACCACTTTTATCGAGTGTATTCATCCTATCTTTGGTATTGATTAAGAAGGAACCTAAAGTGTTATGTGATTTAAAGGAAATTTTGATGTTATCAATTGTAGAAGAAAAAAGTTTAGATATTTTATTGGAAATGCTACTAATATAAGTGAAGGAGAAATATCTGATGTTATCTGAACCATTCGGTTGGGAAAACTGTGAAGAATATGCAAGCTTTTCTGCAATTTTTAGTTTAGCTCTATTTAGAAGTTTGTATATAATGTTGGGATCATAGCCATTATTGAAAGCAATCTGCTTAAGAGTATTAAGTTCTGTATTGAAATTATCATCAGAGAGAGGAAATTTAAGTAACCGATGAATGTAACTGTTGAAAGCAGCCATTTTATGCTGAGTAGGGTGGTTAGACGTTTCATGTATAACGTGATCTGTTTGGGTGGGTTTTCTATAAATGTTGTACTCTAAAGAATCTTTCTTACGGGAAATAGTCATATCCAAGAAGTTCAACTTATTGTCAGATTCTGGTTCCAGAGTAAAAGAGATGTTAGGATGGAGGTTATTAAGATCATCCAGAATCTGTAAAGCATCATCTTGGGTTCCCTGTATGAGAGCTATACAATCATCAACATATCTAGACCAAAAAACTATTTTGTTGTTGTTATTAACAAACTTCTGTTCTAAGCTATCTAAGAAAATATCAGCTAGAAAAGGTGATAATGGAGATCCCATTGCTAAACCTGTTGGTTGTTTATATATTTTTTGATTGAATTGAAAGAAGTCCTGATCCAGACAGAATTTAAGCATAGTTAATATAGCATGTTTATCCTTTGCAGATATGTTGCAATTGTCTAGAAGGTTGTGTACTAAAGGTAATGTTTCATCTCTTGGTACAGAAGTAAACAAATTGGAAACATCAAAAGAAACTAAATAAAAACCCTCTTCTATCCTAATGTTGTTTAAACGTTCTATTAGATCTAAAGAATTTTTAATAGAGAACTTAGGTTCAAAATTAGTGATAGACTGTATTGTGTTGTAAATAAACTCTGATAATATAGAAACTGGAGTGTTACAAAAACTTACTACAGGCCTTATGGGACAATTGTGTTTATGGATTTTAGGCAGTCCATATAACCTAGGTGTTATAGGATTAGATACAGTTAACTTTCTGTTGTTATATTTAGTAATAGTGTCATTAAACAATTTAACCATAGCTTTTGTTTTATTAATGAAGGTGTTAAGTGGATTTTTTTCCAAAACTACAAAACTATTATCTGAAAGAAAAGATTCTACTTTCTCAATGTATTGAATTTGTTCTAAGATTACAACACAATTACCCTTATCAGCCTTGCTGAGTACAAGAGAATCTCTATCAATTTTATGTTTAATTGATGTTAGCAAATCCTTTTGTTTTTTAAAAATATGGTGATGTCTATGAAAATTGCGTTTGTACTTACATTGTTGTTGTTGAAGTAAGCTAATGCAAGAGTTTCTCAAATATTGTTTAATATCAGCATTTTTAGTCATACCTTCTATTAGAGTATCCAGCTCCACTGCAAATCCTCCAAGCACTGAGTTATTTAACCTAAAATTCTGACAAGAAAACTTAAGGCCTAATCCTAAAAAATACAATTCATCCTCTGAAAAGTTAGTGTTACTTAAGTTTAAGACTCTAGGATGGAATTGGTGATCTGAAAACTTATGCATAGGTGTTGAGGTGCTTCTCTGTTGTTTTTGCAATATCAAACGGTTTAGTTTGTTGGTAAGACTTCTCTTCTTGGTAGATTTTTTGCGGGCGACCTCATCTTCTATGTTGTTGAAGAAATCGTTGACAAGAAACCAAGGATTCTGTTGCAAAATTTGATCATAGGTAATTTTCAGATTGACATTGAACTTTTAGTAATTTAACTGCATATTCAGATTTTTCTTTTTTACAGTACTGATAGCGCTTGGTGGACCATTTTATTGTAGTCAACCATCCACTGTCTAATATATTGTTAGTCTTTTCTCACATTCATACTTTATGTCAACTTCAATTGCTCTCAAACCAACATCCTAATTATTATAGACAGGTTTTAGTGTGAGATTGGAATTATTCAATCCACATAAAAAATATACTATATAATTTTATATTTCATCAGTCGATTTCCTATAGTGGTGTCAGTTGGACCTTTGGTCAATACTTAGTGTCATAGAACTTTGAAAGGTGCAGATCACATAACTGCCCTTCATAAGCTGTCATTTGTCACATGTCATCTCTACATTTCCGTCAGACCGGGAGCCCATTCTGTCTCCGGCTTCTTCACAATATGTAGCTTCGCCATATAAATTTTAAAGTGTTTGTTTGTCTTAGTGTAGTGTATTTTGTATTGTTATGTCCAGTTTTTACATTTATGACATTCTACTATGTCGGATAGTCCACAATTGACGAAGTAAGTCTATAAACGTTTATCACATATAAAAATTTTTTTCAACCATAAACTTGGAGTTTTTTTATCCAAGTGAATTAATTTTCCTGTTTTTAAAAAACGTTTCTTGGCTTATTTCAGATGCCCCTGAAGATGATCTATTGATCGAAAGTACTTGGGCAAGATTAAATTAATCACCGTGTTCGATAGTTGCCTTGTATACCTTCAAAGTTTAATTATTCGAACATTCAACCTCATATTCAAAAAATAATAATTTAAATTAATTTTTTATTAAATCAAATGAGAAATATAACAAATCGAGAACTAAGGAAAAAAAAACAAATTTTCATTTCCTAGCAAAATGTTTATGAATACCTAAGATGAAAACTTAAAAATAAAATTTGACGGTACTTTTTCGTGATGCTCATATTGTAATGGCTTTTATACACTGATAATGAGAGAGATAATGATTCTCCTGTTACCGCCAAAGAATGTAGAGCGTAGAACTATTTTAATTAATTTTAAACTGTTTGTCTTTGTTTTAGTGTAGTGTTTGTACAATTGTATGTTAACATTCATGTTTATCACATTCTACGCTTGCTGTATAGCCCATATTTGACGAAATGCCCCCGAATATGCTATATTAAGCGAAAGTACTTGGGCAAGATTTGATTAAACTTGTGCTCGATATAATTGCCTTAATTTTCAAACTTGTTTTAATGTTTATTTTTTACGTCATTGGCCAAATAAAGATTTTCTGAAACTTACTTTATACTTTCGCAAAGGATCTGTGGAAAAAGGTCCCATGACAAATAATGTAAAAAATTATATTTACATAAAAATGTGTCTATATCTTTGAAGCATCTTATTGTAACTTTAGTTTAAATACAATACTTTTATTTTAGCTTTCAATAAAGTTCAAAGTTTTAATCTTTGTTTTCAAAATACTTGTTAAATTTTCAATTGCGTTTTTCTCAAAAGCGCCATTTGGCATATGGGCCATTTTCCGGGAATGGCCTCAATTGCTAGATATGAATGAAAAATTAACAAAACTTAAAAACATTTGTAACATTTTAAACTTTTGTCAAATGAACAATTTTTTTAGAGGTTAGAAATGAGAGCAAAGAAATTCGGAGTAATTGTCACAAGTCCAGATGCCAAGAAAGCAGCTAGAGCAGAGAGGTTTGGTACATCTAATGCATCAGCTGATAGTATTAAATCATCTCAAGTGGTAAGTTATTGCATGAATATATTAGAATGTAGTATTGTAATTGTTAAGAGGGCACTTTTTAAATTAGTTTCTATAAAAAATGGATATAGGAACTGCAAAATCGATTTTTTAAACATTGTTAGAGTTTGTAAAAATTTTAATTTTTTAAGAACTATATTGAAACTGAGCAACAGAGAGATTAATTTAATTAATCCCACATATTTTGTATTTCTTAATCAAACAATTTAAATTTGTTTAGTTTTCCTTTTTATTTTGTAACAATTCAACAACCAATGTTGTGAACTGTGAACCTATCACTTAGATCATTGGATCCCAATTGTGTAAAAATAAAATGACTACTCAGCCGTGTAATTATAAAAAGACACTTGAGATGCCAATTTTATTGCTAGTACTTCAACTAGCTCTGTATCAGGTGTACGTACAGTTAGTTAGTTAGTTAGTTATCTAACTTGACAATGGCAAGTGTGACCTTGCCGAAACGTCGTCAAAACAGTGGTTTTTCTAAAAACTATTCAACGCGGAGTCAAACCCGGAAAACATCTGAAATCATAATATATATATATATATATATATCCTCTAAAATAACAGCTGATCTGGTAGATGAAAAGTGAGTTGAGGTTAATTGGGTATACAGCTGAATAAAAGCCAAGTGCACTCTGTTCAACAGTTCATTATATTTCGCCAATTTTCATTGGCATCATCAGATGAAAGCTACAATTATTTAAAACATGGTAAAAATAAATAAAAATAAAAATAATAAAATACATTCAATAGTCTTACTTGATTGAGGTTGTGGCAATATGATTTATGTTATCATCAGAAAGGTTTGTGGTATGATGTGGATTGTAGTTTTTTTGGATATATAACATGTAGTTGTAAAAATGACAATTAAAATATTAAATGACAATATATAAATTAAAAAACAAAATAAACATAAAAACGTTTAGTTCGCAGATAGTCATTAAGGTTTAGTACTAGAAATACCAAATATCGAATGTTATTGATTGATGTGTAGCAGGAGATAATTAGTTCTATAGTGTTAATATAGTAGTTGTTTATTGATTGGGATTTACTGTAAAAGTGTGTTTTAGATAAAAAATTTAAAAAATTTTTTTTGAAAATTTTGGAATTACATGTTGTGTTACAATAATTATTTAATAGTTATGTTTGTTTTTTCGATATGTAATAGATAAGCATAAATCTCACTCAAATGTTCAACATCTGATTTCTTATTTATTAAGTTATCCATTTGGGTGATAAATGCCATCTCGAGGAAGAGTCTTTTATTGAGATTATTCTCCATTGCAAGAATCTTTGTTTCGTTGTAGTTCATTACATGGTGTTCATTATGTACGTGTTTTGCAAGGGAACATCTATCGGGATATAGTCTGCTGTCACTCATGTGGGAAATGATACGATTTTTTAGGTGTCTGTTGGTTTGGCCAATATATTGTTTGTTACAACTTCCGCAAGGGATACAATAAACTATATTGGATAATTAACTCGATATTCACTAAACTAAAAGATAAGACACCTACAGATCAATTATCCAATATAGTTTATTGTATCCCTTGCGGAAGTTGTAACAAACAATATATTGGCCAAACCAACAGACACCTAAAAAATCGTATCATTTCCCACATGAGTGACAGCAGACTATATCCCGATAGATGTTCCCTTGCAAAACACGTACATAATGAACACCATGTAATGAACTACAACGAAACAAAGATTCTTGCAATGGAGAATAATCTCAATAAAAGACTCTTCCTCGAGATGGCATTTATCACCCAAATGGATAACTTAATAAATAAGAAATCAGATGTTGAACATTTGAGTGAGATTTATGCTTATCTATTACATATCGAAAAAACAAACATAACTATTAAATAATTATTGTAACACAACATGTAATTCCAAAATTTTCAAAAAAAATTTTTTAAATTTTTTATCTAAAACACACTTTTACAGTAAATCCCAATCAATAAACAACTACTATATTAACACTATAGAACTAATTATCTCCTGCTACACATCAATCAATAACATTCGATATTTGGTATTTCTAGTACTAAACCTTAATGACTATCTGCGAACTAAACGTTTTTATGTTTATTTTGTTTTTTAATTTATATATTGTCATTTAATATTTTAATTGTCATTTTTACAACTACATGTTATATATCCAAAAAAACTACAATCCACATCATACCACAAACCTTTCTGATGATAACATAAATCATATTGCCACAACCTCAATCAAGTAAGACTATTGAATGTATTTTATTATTTTTATTTTTATTTATTTTTACCATGTTTTAAATAATTGTAGCTTTCATCTGATGATGCCAATGAAAATTGGCGAAATATAATGAACTGTTGAACAGAGTGCACTTGGCTTTTATTCAGCTGTATACCCAATTAACCTCAACTCACTTTTTATATATATATATATATATATATATATATATATATATATATATATATATATATATATATATATATATATATATATATATATTTGTGTATCACATGCAGCAACTAAAACTTATTCGTAAACTATTTCGTAAGGTTTTATTATGCAACAATTAGATTTTGCAATGAATTGTATATTTTACTATCTTTTATTTTGTGATATTGACGATTTTTGTAATTTTAGTAAATTTTGATTGTTATTGTTGTTTTTTTTTTACTTTTTGTAAGCATTGTATAATTTTCAGTGACAATAAAGAATATTTCTATTTTAGAACCCTACCCGTTCCATACGGTTTAATGTGTTTTATATATTGTTGTATATGTGGGTTGTTGTTTATGTTTTGTTAAACAATGGTTTATGGTTTTATTACGTTTTACCTGAATTTTTATCTTTCTTCTGTCTACTGCTGTCTAACGTGACATACTAATGTTGCCAACTAACAATTAAGCTGGAGTTATACACCATAATTCACTATATTTTTTCAACTTATCACTCACTGGATAAGAGCAGAACATACTCAATACCTTGAACAGGTTAATGTTTGGGGAAGAATTTTTTAAACTTTTTATTGCTTGTGGGATATTTTAGTTTAAATAAAATATTATATAAAGTACTTTACGATTTTATTTACTCCATCTTTATTCTTTTGTGTAAATTAATTTTTATAAATATATTTCCATAAACTGAAAATTAAAATTATTCACCGTTTGTTGTTTCTCACTTATTCGAAATATTTCATATGTTTACGATACTAAAAATAAAAGCAAGCAAAAGCAAACGTCAAACCAATAGTCATTATTTATTCAAGTGAAAAAACTGTTTCAAGTAACTTTCAAATATTGGAAGGTACGCCGCTGGCTTAAAAGGAAATGTCACAGTCTATCACCTCGTCTCTTTGCCCGCGCCTTCGACTTCAAATTTAGGTGAACAGAGTGCAGGGCATGCCTAGTCCATCTTTATTTATACGTCCATGGTTCCTTTATTAGAACAATGAGACCAGGAAGTTTAGCAACGACAATACAATATGTACAAGAAGAACGCAGTGTACGATATCTTCAAAAAAATCAGATAACTCCACCCACAACATCAGAAACGAAAATTACCAAGAACATCGATCGCAAAGTTCAACTTCAAGCATCCATCCAAAACAATTGTATCACCAGCCAAATGTTGCACCTCCGCAATGGCAGCAATCCGTTAGGCAATTCTACCCACAGAAGCAATCTGATATATTTGTAGTTGTAGTCTGAATATTATATTTTAAAATACAACTAAAATCTTTGCTAGTGCAAATTAAAGTTTACTTTGAGCGTTTCTGCTTTTTAAAAAGTGTTTTCCAAAAGAACATTGATAAATAGCGCAACGCTACTAGCTTGAAGTGTCAGTTGTGTTAGATTTTAAAGCATGCGTCGATAGATAATAATATACATATAATCATTTATAAAATCAGTGTCATTGCGCCCTAACTTTATTTTACGTTATCTTTGATACCATGCGTTTTTAACATCTGACAACCCTAATTTTCGACCATTTTTCATTCGAATGAAATAAAATATTTGTCAAAAATTAATTACTATTAATTGAATTAAAAATATTTGCGGTTCTTTTTGACTGGCAACCTATTATCAATGTATTCTCCTAATTTTAAATATATGTAAAAATGTCAGTTTGATAAACTACGTTATGAACATAACCGTATGCAGTGGGATCTTGTACTATTAATACTTCCATTAGATCGAGGATTAACATTGGGACGTTCTCAATGGGACGGAGTCAATACAATATTACAAATTCATTCAAAAACAAAACTTAAAAAAGACGAAACATTTTTCATGGCATCTTTGCAATTTGTAATTGTTTCTCGAAATAAAACGCATGCATTTACAATCCAAGCATCTAGAAAATACCGGAAAATACAATGCCACTGGGATTTTCTATATATCCAATAAACTGAATAACATGTCAACCATTCCTATGCGTTTGTTAAACAGAGTAGATATAAAGGGACAAACAACATCTTCTACTCTTCTTCTACGAATCTATCTTTCTTCTTGTGATCGTTACGTTAATTAAAAGATTGATATAATCGTCAAGAAACAATACACTTTTCACCCATCCATTTCGGTCCATCCATTTCAAAGCTGCAATATCATCAGTCAATACACTGTAATCCGAATCTGATCTTTTCATTTTTTTTGTAAAGATATTTTTCCAATTTTTTTACGCACTGTGTCATCAGAATAAATATCTTTTGTAAGTAAATCGTTTTGCAAATAATTTAATTACATTTTTTTTTCTAGAATACGAAATTAGATGTTCTAAAACAAAGAGCAGCAAGATTTGGAGTGTCTGTATCGTCTGCGATGTCAAATTTAGAAAATAAGGAAAAATTAGAAAAAAGGAAGCAACGGTTTGGTTCCGACACAGAAGGAAAATCTTCCAATGGTGTATCCGACAGTGAAAAGGCGAAACTTCGTTTAGAACGGTTTAAAGAACCAGTGAAATAATTTTTTTATTTTGTTATATTGGTTTATAATAAATTAGGTTTAGATAACACTCATTGAAGAATTCACTAGTATTTACAAATTAAAAATGTTCTAAAATATAAAATGATAGGATGAAATATTTCCATACCAACCTCTAAGGAAATATAAATATTCCTTAAAATATTTTTGTTACATTTATTTTATTCTAATATTTTCGACCTTTTTTTTATTAAAGTACCGACAGGTCCTTCTTGAAATCGTATCATTTTTTATCTCTTTATCTGTATGTATATCTGTGCGATAACTTTTAAAGGAAGATCGTATAGTCTTGAAACTCAATACATAGATTCATCTTGGTCCAAAGATGAATTCTTGGACTTATTTAATTTCTGATCAATAGATCAAAGATGGTTAAAGTTAAAGTAGCTTAGGAAAGAGAGTGTAGTCTTCAAAGTGGATTAAGACATAGAAAATCTTGTCGGGTCCTTCGATATTAGTATCGATTTATGTGGTGTTATTATCAGTTTGAAAAGTAATTATGACTTTAAAAGCTGTAAACTTCCGAATGTTATAGTGATCACAGAAGTAAAAATGCAGTTCCACCCTGATTATTAGAAGGGGCATATGTATATGCATATTTATGCGTTCTTTTTTTTAACTTTTTTATCTTTCTTTTTTATGTAGTAGCATTAGTTCTAAGAAAGTACTGACACACTGGTACAATACATATATTCATGGTGAGATTATGCCTTTTAAACTATAACAGAAAATATATACCAGTCTGACACCCAATCGCTACTAGTTTCTGTACATTGATTGGGCCTCTTCCATGTCTCTCTTGCATTTTCTCTTGATTCCAATCTAGCCTTTTCTTGATCTTGATTTTTTTTATTCATTAAGTTTCCAAATTAGGATTTCTTTAGGTATTCTTTCCTCTGGCATTCTTTGGACATGGCCGTAAATATTAGTTATTTTGGTTTAATGTCTATTGTGGTATGTTTGACTACAATGAATTCCCGTATATGCTCTTTATATATCTTTCTTGTCTCTATCTTCCAGCGGACCTATTTCAGAAATTCTTAAGACGCCTTTCTGATTTCTCTTTTAGTGGCTTCAGTTGGATTATTGTATATGTTATAATAACTATTATACGAAGGGCGCCCCTCAGCTCGTTTCCATTATATTTTTATTTGTCCACTCAGCAGTGGCACTTATTTGTGACTCTTCCTCTGGTCTATCTCTTTTCTCTTTTATCTTCGTTTTATTCCTACGAAATTCTGTCAGAAACGTCAGTGCGACTATACTGTGTCAAGAGTATAATCATTCATCCTCTGGATACAATGGTGTTCACCTCGGGATCGTACAGCGTTGTAGCCGCATCATAAATCTAACCGTGTGATGGATCAGCTGTGGTGTGGCTGGGCATAGTGTAGATTTCTACATGTGTATTTTGTTTACGGTAGTCCGGAGCTACTTAGCGGCGTAGGTAGCTCAGAGATGAGTGTATCCGCTTTTGGCACTGAATGATGTGGATTCAATCCCCATTACAAAAATAAAAAAATATTACTTAGATCGCCACTTTAAACGCATTTAACAAACCACAAAGTCGTAACCTATCTAATCTATCTATTGTATATCTGTTTGTACTTAACGATACACAACACAGGTATGTGCAGAGGATTTATGTACGTTCAAACGAGATGTGTATTTTATGTTTGTGTATATGTGTGTATCTCTGAGTGTGTATGTGTGTCGCGTTCAATTGGTAAATCTGCAGTTATTGATAGAGCTGAAGCTTCTATGTTATGTTCACAAGTGATCCGTGGGTTTTTATTTGTTTATATTGTATTCAAATCTGTTCTCCAAATCGATAGGACATTTCCTATTACCGATTTGGACGTGTCTTGTCAGGGATGAGAACTTCTCCATCCAGTGTATCCTGCGCGGAATATTTGAGAGCTCCTACTCAATTTAGTGTTTTGAAATATTTTGGCTCCAAAGTGTCTTATTCAGAATGTTATTGTTTTTTTTTCGAAATACATTTTTTTGCAATTGCTTTATCGAGTGTACATATCTCTTGACAATTTATAAAACTATTGTTATTTTGTTATATTTAAAGTATTATTATATCTTTTTTTTTGTCTTTTTAAGTTTAACTTAATACCAATAAAACAGCAGGACAACATGGATGAATATCTATACCGACTTCTAACCGTAACGTGATTCAGGTAGCAGTGTGGAAAGGTATAAGACCAAACGAAATGAATATCTTTTAGTTGGTTGAAGTGAAATATGTTGTATAGGGTTTTAGATGGTATTAGACGATTGTTTGGAAATGTATTTCCGCTATATTTTGTTATATTGTGAGGACATGATTATTATATTTTACTCACGAGTATTTTAACCATAAAATGTATCTTAAAAATAAAAAAATTGCCAACAAATTAATATTAGTGAATTCTGAAAAAACATTTTTCTATGACTTTGACCTTTTTTTATCTTATATAATTCAAAGAATAATATGTATGTTGTTATTCATTTGTAATAAAATTATGTTTTTTAAACATTTTTTTTATTTTAAAATTTATTCTATTCCAACGTATTAACAACACATAATGTCCATGTATTATTAATTTTAATGAACAGAAGTGAATTTGTGAATATGTTTTCTTACCGAAGAGAAAAATAGGTAGGCAATTTTAAAATAGGTGTTCACGTTTAACCCTATAATGCACACGGATGTATATTTGCATCACCTTGTATTTTCGCTTCCACGGTACCCTGTAATAAATTTTAAGCTTAGAAGACGACTTCATTCAATTATGTACTGACAGTCCATCTGGCAAAAGGGATTAGTTCACGTGGTTGCACAATTTATGCTTTTGTGCTATTTGCTACTAAATCCAAGAAGTTGCTACTAAATCCAACAATAAGCCTTCTACCAATGGTGTTTCTAAATCTGAAGTAAAATGTAAGAGTTGCTATGGAAAAAAAAAATATTGGTCAGATACCATCAAAATTTACAGGGAATACGACACTGCTAGATGCAGTTTTAGATTTACAGACACCATACCAATTTTTTAAATATTTCTTCGATGACGATCTCATAGAAAAAATTGTTGAAGAAAGTAGTAGATACAGCGTTCAGAAAAATCCAGCTAAATCTTTTAAAATGACTTCAACAGATATTTGGGCATTTGTATAATTACTTCTGTAGTTTCAATACCTAATATAAGAATGTATTGGAATGATACTATTGGATTAGCAATGGTCCAAAATGCTATCAGTCAAAAGTCATTTGAAAAAATTCACTAATTTACATTTTAATAACAATGGGATTGATGCAGCCGGTGACAGATTACGGCCTGTTATAGATTCTATATCATCATATTTTTAACAATACCTTTGGAAAAAATGATGTCTATAGATGAGCAGACATATGTAACAAAAGCTCGCCACCACATGAAGCCATACTTGCTGCTCAAACTACACAAATAGGGATATACTCCATTCCACGAATATACGACTGTTTTAAATTCACTTTAAGGTGTCGACTTAAATGGTCCAATGTGCTGCATTGTACAATAGTAAATTCTCCCCATTTTTAAAATACTGTTACGACAGATATAAACCTTAGATTTAAATATGAAGTCATGATATAAATATAGAGTTGATAGTTTATATAATAGTTGTAATTCAGAATTTAAATTATATAATTACTATCATTAAGTTTAGTATTTTAAACAAGTTGGTGTTTTAATTAAGTGATTTAAACGAAGTGATTAAATACTTAAGTGATTAAATAGTGTACTTTATTTAGTCGAATATTCAATTAGTATTAAAAAAACAAAAAAACTTACTTGTTCTCTTATTCACCTAATCTCCTAAAACTATTATCAACCATCAGATTCACAGCCATAATCACTGTCGTCGCTATCCTCATTTGGATGGTAAATTATAATAGGATTAACTGCTTCGATGCGACCTTCACGGATCCACCATTCTTTAATTAAGTCTTCACATTTTTTTACACTTTTTCCCCAAATTTCAGGAGTGGCAATATCCAATGCTTGTTGCCATGTTTCCAAGACTGCCTCGTCACTGTAACCCTTGTATCCAATATGGTTATCATAATATGTTTTGCAAATCCCCCAAATATATTCAATTGGATTGAATTGGCAATGATAGGGCGGTAGTCTTAACACACGATGTCCAAAGCTATGTATAATTTCGTCTACTATATATATGTTTGGTTGTGCATGACTTTTAGCTAACGTTAGTAATTGAGGCTTAAAACAGTATTGAGGAAATGTAATATTTTTATTCGTTAACCATTCTTTTATTTTATCTACAGTCCAGGTGTTTGTTGGTTGCTTATTTAAAATTTCCGAATGATACGCAGCATTATCCAGTACTATAACGGATGGTTCATGTAAACTTGGCAACAGTTTTTCTTTCAACCATTTAACAAACATCTCCGTATTCATATTGTCATGATAATCGGCTGATTTTGATTTTGATGAAAACACAAGATCTGCTCCCTCAATAAAACCATATTTTCCACCTGCATGTACTATAATATATCTCTTTCCCTCGTTATCGATGTGTTTTATGGATTTTATACTCTCGTCCTGCCACATTCGTTTGATACCGCCTTTAGCAAAAATCCATGTTTCGTCTAAATAAACGAAGGAAGAACATTCTTCTTTAAATTTGTTGTAATTTCTTAAAAATTCTATTCTTTTGTGAACGACACTAGCTCTTTCACACAAAGCCTTTCTATTGTCTTCCTTTTTGAACTTAAAGCCAATCTGTCTTAAAACTCTCCAGAGACTTGTTCTGGAAATTTCAAATATATTTCTGTCTTTTAATTTTTGTAGCACTGAATCTAAAGAAACATGTTCTTTCTTTTCGCGCATTTTATATATTGTCTCACGGATTTCAAATTTGCAACCTTCGGGAAGATCTATAGTCTTTGGTTGTCGGCGAGATTTATATTGTGCGACATTTTGTTCACTTTGTCCACTTTTTTTTTCTTTTTGCAAAACCGACTTTAGTTTTGTTTCACTAATACAGAGTGCATCACACACACGTTTATGTACGGACTCAACAGGTCGCAAAGGGCCCCCGTTGGTTTTCTCAGCAGTAAAATAAGAAAGTACATTAATTATAAACTTGTCTACATCTAAAACACGTCTCGGCATTTTTAGCTTCAATAAACAAATACACTATACTAAACTCTATCTTAACGGACACCTCTCTTCACCGGAAACCCCTATACGGACGGTTTTTAAAACTAAAATCAGTCGGCGATATATGAAACTGTATGTAAATTTTCGTTACTTTTTAATATCTGTAACGACTCGGTACTTTAACTATCAATAGCCGGTATATTATACCCGTTATAAAAAAACTTTCGGAACTTAAGAGTACATCCACTCAAACCAAACAAATATTTAAAACTAACAAAGTGAACTATTATATAGATTCTATTTCTGGTTTCTGAACCATCCTTCTGCCAATTTCTTTTCATTTATAATAAAAATGGTATATTTATTTTTATTACAGTTCTCTTACCTAATAAAGTAATAAAATATAATATCAAAGAAACCCGGCGCGCCTGTTTGCATTTATTTACAAATGTTTACATTTCAAATGCACTTTGTTTACATTTCACCGAAATCCAAGCCAAATGTCTGATGAACACATTTTCGTAAAAATGACCGTTTGCGAAAAAATGTTTGGTATTTTCGGATTAAATTTCACAATAAATTTTGCGTCTATTTGTACATCTATTAACTGAAATAATTTTAGTTCAGATGTAATACTAACAGTAGATGCTTTTTATTGGAATAATAATTAGACCAATTTACTTTCATACTTCTACTTGCACAGTAAAATATTCATTGTCGCAATAATCCCAAACAGTCGTATATTCGTGGAATAACCTATATAAGGGTTTTGCGCTTTCTGGAATTTTAGGTTTTTGTTATAAATTTGAAATATACACTCGCACGGAAAATGATAAAAAAAAACGACTACAAAATGAACCTGACTTAGGTACAAGTAGTAATATTATCGTGAGATTCCCATAAATGGTTATCACAAGTTGTATTTTGATAATTACTACACATCCGTACCTGTAATTAGGTTTTTGGCGAAACACGGAATTCATAGTATTGGGACAGTATGCAGAAATCAAATTCCATGCTGTAAAATGCCAACTGAAGTAGTATTAAATAAATTACCCAGAGGACTTCTGAAGAATTTGTAGCAGATTATGAAGGTATAAATATAAGTATAATACCAATATAACACTTAGAGGTCGTGCGGTGTCTCACACATAGAAATTGTTGCATTCACAGGGTATTTTATATATACAGTTCTTTGATCTCTCTTGTATGTTGTTAGGTTTGGTTTTGGACAGGATAGGTCTGAGTATATTGATTGTTTTAAATTTTAGTGATGTACTTATTTTCTATCCTTTTTAATTTTTCTGATAAACCTTTTAAGTATATAAAGAATAAGAAATAACTACATCACAACATTTAAAACAACCAAATACACTCAGATCCAAAATCAAACCTAACAACATACAAGTGAGATCAAGAAACTGCATCTATAAAATACCCTGTAAATGCAACCATTTCTATGTGGGAGAAACCACAAGACCACTAAGTGTCAGGAGAAAAGTGCATGAAACATACATAAAAAACAGGCACTGCGACAAATCACAGAACTGTAAACATGCTGAGATAACGAGCTCAGAGTACAATGCACAGACACGCAAACATACCTGGGACAGAGCGAAAGGGAAATATGCATAAATAATCATGAAAGAAACAGACAGGAAAACAATCAAAGAAGCAGACTTCATCCTACTCAATGAAGAAAATTGTGTAGCAAACCCATCAGCAGAGTGTAGCAGGTTTTGGATGCAAATACTAAAACAAGAATATACCAGTGATTGAAGATTATACCAGATTGAAGACACATCGTCTTCAATCATACACAATACATATTATGTAACACACAATATACGAAGGCTCTCTCTCTCTCACACACACACACACACACACACACACACACACACACACACACACACACACACACACACACAAACGCTTAAAACACATACACATAATGCAGAAATACACAGAATAATCAGCATTTGAAGTTCCATAGGGCAAAAAATTCATTCTCATCTTTCC